TTCACCCTACCCCGTATACGGGGTACCCACGTATACCCCGACTACGTAGTCTCCCTTAGCCACACCTATTCCTGTCCACCTAGCCGTACTAGCACGAAGTCGCCCGCAGCCACCTATCCCTTTCCGACTAGCCATTCTACCACGAAGTCACCCGTAGCCCCTCTGATTCTGCCTTCCCCATCCTCTAAATACTCTTTTTCGCCTGATTACGCTCGATCTGTGGTTGCTCAGGAAACTGCAGCATCTGTATCCTTACACAGGCCACCCCACTGGTGCCGTATGATAGCATACAATATGCTGTGTGTTTCTTTCACGGCATCTGTCGCAGGGTATCGGAGCGCAGAGTCTGCCGGTGGGTGAAACATCCATGCGGCACTATCGGGCCTCGGACACTGGCCTGCCCACCCATGCGTCCGCGGTTGCCGAGGGACATATCCACCCTCGGCACGGGCGATTGCAATTCCCGCTCGAGTCCACAGGGCCAACTCCCCACTCAGTTAACCTCACCAGAATTGAACCGGCAGCCCGGTTCTGCCCTTCTGACAGGTTCCAGTACAGCTTCGCCACAATGCGAGTCGCCAAATTGTCACCCACGCTTTCGCACCCCTCAGAGCACCCTGTTGTGGGAACTTAGCCAACGATCTCGTAACCGGCTGCATGGGCCTCGATGGCCTCGGGGCCACGCGCCCTCGTTGCTCGTTGGACAACGAACGGCAAACCGCGATTCGTAATCTGGCGCAAAAATGCCGATCAAAGATCATCGCGTTGGTAATACGTCGACACGTCCCTTTGGGTGCCGCTTTCAGGTGCTGGCGGGCGTCGAACCTGCTCCTGTCGCGCCTCTGTCACTCGGTGCGCCACGCACCATCCGCATTGGCACTGCACTAGAGCCGCTTGAGCCACGGGAACCGTTTCGAATCGAAATCGCCGCGTGGACAGCCTTTTGTGGTGCTGCCGTCCCCAGAGTCGAAAAAAAGGGGTGGAGGTGGAATGCCATACCGGGGGGCTTGGAGGAAATCTTGGCGCGCGCGCGGTGGGGCGGCGAGGAGGGCTTTGCGGGGATAGGAGCCGGAGAGGGCGGGGGCCAAAGCAGCGGCAGGAGGCAGCGGGGGCGGCCTGGCGCCAATCTCGAGCTCAGGGGGGTGCAATCTCGAAGTCGTGGTTGACAATAAACGGTGCAGGTGAGGGGCAAGAAGGCCTCGGTCGCGGGAATCGCTGCGGCATTGGCGGACATTGTTTCCGGACGCGATCCCGATGGGCGACTTCCAACTGGCTGTCGGGCGGTTTTGTGCGCTGGGGCCGCGGGAAAGGGGCAACGCCGGTGGACTGCAGTCGGCTGCGAGATCTCGGTCAATCCGATGGCGACGTTCCCCCGCTTGAATGCACTGCGAGGGAGGTTGGCATCGGGGGGCCGGATTGGTCGCCTGAAGACCGCAGCTGATTCGTCGCGGGAGTGGGCGCGCGTGCGGAGAGCCGTTCCTGTTATTCTCAGGCGGGAAAGATGTTGTCCGTCCTCTTCTGTCCGCGACCTGGGCCGGCCTCCCTTGTGCTTTCCCGGCGAGAGTTCTCAGTTCTTTACTGTTTTCCGTTTGAGTCGGCCGGTACCGCCTGCGTCACTTGACGTACGGCCCCCTCCCGCGGCCTCCAAAGGTCGGTGGCGTCCTTTGCGCAAGGTCACGTTGGCAAGACGTTGGCGCGGTGCAGCAACCAACGGGGCTGCAGCGAAAGGCCCCGTCGCAGAGGCGCGTCGAACAAACGGAGCCATGCTGTTGTCGCGAGCGGAGTTGGGCGCCACGCTCCCAAGTCCTCAGACGGTGGGGCGTGAGCCCGTTGAGTCGCCCATTTGGCGAACGTGTTCCGCGCGCGACGTCCCTCACCCCTGCGCGCCCGCGCTTGCCGCGGGCTGGGAATTTCATGGACGGCGTGTGTCCACGTCTCGCGTCGAAGCGAGCGCAGAATAGTCTGGGCGCTTGTCCAGGGTTGGGTGGGGACCGCGCACGGGCGCACCCGCGCCCACCAGTGTTTAAATCGTATCTCGGTGTCGTGCATTCCGCTGTGGTAGCGTCTCTGACCGCTTGGGGTTGGGCTGGCGCGTTGCGAAGCGTCATTCGGGAGCGTGCACCCCCGCCCCCGTGCCTTCCTGTTCTATCCTCTCGAGATGAAGGCCAGCGCCTGGACGCGCGTGTGCCTGCCTATCTCTTCATGCGCCTGATGTTGTTTGCCGAATCGATCTGGACCCGATTTGGATCCATTCGTGACTCATAGGGCGTTGTGCGCATGTGGGCAAATCGCCGACAAATGGGCCGTGGCGCCACAAAAAGGATGGAGGCGTGCGTGTCGTCGGAACGGAGTGCTTTGCCAATGGATGACTGTGCAGACTGAATGCAGGTTGTCAAAGTGTCACAGGGCAGTACGTAGCACAGCGCACAGCACAGCACACAGTACAGCACAGCACATAGCACAGCGCACAGCACGGCGCATAGCACGGCACACAGCGCAGCACAGTACACAGCATAGCACATGTGCTGGCTCCTCGCCGCTTCGCTAGGATGTGGTTGAGGTTCCCACGTTCAACCGCTGGTCACCATGCACAACCGCCCTCCTGGAATTTCCCATCTTCTCTCTCTTCCCCCAAGCTTCCACTGTTCGTGCACCTGGAGACTCCCCATAGTCAGTTTGCAGTGTGGAAGGAGGTCTCACACACGCTTGCTTAGAATCGGGGTGGGGGTGGGATGGGAATGGAGGCGTCGTAGACTTGCTTCTCTGTTTCTCGATGTTTGGCAAATTGCCATTGGGGAACATTCATAGCCTCGGGCAGACACGCAAATTTCGCAGTGCCGCAGACCCGCTCCGTTCGTGTTTGCGTTCGCCCAGCACGGCCAGGCCACCCGGCCACAAAGCCGCCGGGCGCCTCCTTCACCTTCCACGCTGCTGCGAAGGGGGCGCCCCCGCGAAGACCGGAGGACGCAACGGCTGTCGACTCAAAGTCACCCCAGATCGACGCCTCAACACATCTTCCATTTGACGGGCGAGCCCTGTCAGGCCCTGTGGCCATCCGGCGATTATAATCCGCCGCTCTGGGCCGATGGGCTGACCAACGCAACAGGCCAACCACCCATCGATCCCCAAAAAAAAACACCTCTCCGCCCCCCGCCCGACATGGGGGCGTGCACCATCGGCGTCCGATGTTGCATGAGCCACATGATGCGGGGCCTGATTGACTTGACGCCGAGCTGGGGCGGCCGGAAAGCGAAAAAAGTGGCCGCCTGGGCCTCACCCCGCCTCCAGCGCCGCAGGGACCCCCGCGCGGAGCAGAGCGTCCAGGGGTTAGCCAAGCCTCAGCGTGGCGGTGGGGAGGACCCGAGGCATAGGCGCGGCAGCCGGGCATGGTGCGCCTCCCCTGCTCCATTTGCTCGCGATGGCGTTGATGCCTCCCGGATCGGTGCACGGGGCGCTGACTCTGCGACTCTCCCCGCGCGGCGAAGAGGACCAAGCTAGCTCAGCGTTTTTCGCCCGGTGGGAGTTTCATAACTCACATTACGGAAACCGGGCGGGCCAGAAGCGGAGTGGGGACAGAAGGGGACCGGACGGGCGCGTGCGTTTTCGGTCGGGCTGTATGCGCAGGCGTCGCGCAGGAACACCTCATGACCTTGAACTGGCCCCGGAACTCAAGCCGGGAACTCACCCCGGAGCACTCTGCTGGGCGCTATGCGGGCAGCCCCTCGACGGGCGAGTCCTTTGCGCGGGCGCCGCGGGGGTCACTCAGGCCGCTCGAGCGTCCCTGGCGAGCAAGTGTTGTGGCAGGGAGCGGTGTACTAAGCGTCGCTGTCAGCGGCTTGGTGCCCGGGTTTGGGCGCCGACCAACACACTGCGCAAAGTACTGGGCGGAAATTTTCGCGGTGCGCGGCGGGGTGGGAATTGGTCGGTGGGGCGCTTGTGGCAGTACTTCGCCCCTGGCGTGCCGACGCGCATCGATTGCCGGTGCGCGGAACTGTGGCTGAACGAGCTGGTGCGCCGATGGGGCCGACAGTCGCTGGCTGCCGGAGGGCGCGCGCGAGCAAGGCAGCTGCGCGCTGATTGCCGCCCCTTCCGGGTGTTGCGGCGCGTTGTCCCTCGGTAGGGCGTCCGGTACAAAGGGGCGAGACGAAAGGCGCGAATTTGGAACGGCAGCGTGGTGCGGGCTGTGCGGCACTGTCCCATCGCGAACTGCCTTCCGGCAAACGGTCTTTTTGCTGTCGTGGCTTAGCGCCTGAATAGGAGACGATTGCAAGGCACTCACCTCCCCCCCAACCGACCTGCCTCTGGACCCGCTCATGTGACCCCACGCCGTACTTTTCGGCGTGGAAACGTGGAGTGAAGGGAGCCTTGTCCGCTTCCTTTTCCTTCCAGCGGCTCCTGGGCTTCTTCAGCCCTGGCGCATTGCTGGATTGCAGGCTGTGAAAGAATAGCATTGGACATGTTTGACCATACACGCATGGAAGGGCGTCAGTGTAGGCGCCTACTTTGCACAGCAGGCACCCACAAGATTGACAGCAAATTAGCAGAGAAGAACTTTAACAGTATCTGCACATGAACCGACGCTTAGAATGTAAATGTGGCGCCATTTTAGACAGTGTTGGCAATGGCTCAGCACTGCAGCCACACGAACGACAGAAGCCATGAAGCGGCACTCCACAAAGAATGCGGAATACAAAATGGTAGCATTGATTTTTTCAGCGCGGTGTTGCTCACTTTTGAGTTTCTGCACAGTAATGTGCGGACAATGGCGGTGGCAAACATGAATCGCAGTTCACTTTTCATGGTAGCTGTGGTGCATTTGGTGTATTCTTCCACTGTCAAGGTAGCTTGTCATCGGTACAGATATCGATGTTGAATGGTGGTAGTGTGGTGGTGAGTATAATGACAGTAATTTGCTGCAGCAATTCAGTCACATGCTGAGTGTCGAGTGTTTGGGGCCCCTTTGCTCGCAGGGTCTGGGGCCGGGGGAGACTGGCTGACCCATGGTGTCGCCCGCTGTGCTGGTGGCATTGCTAGTGGCGTGCCTCGCAGATTTTCCGGCTGGTTTTGCAGCAGCCAATCAAGCCGCTGGCAATTTGGTAAGTATGGGCCAACAGAGACGCGTATGTGAAACCCAAACCAGAATGCATTGCTCCAACTGTTCTCTCTGGTCTCGTTTGGACACACGGCACTCGCTGGTCCATGAGTTTCAGCTGTTGAGCATGTAGGGATATCTTTTGAGACAGGGCTTCTTCTGTCAAGGGAGTTGTGTTGCTTTTCTGTTGGAAGGTTTCTCTGAAGTCGAATTTGACACAGCAAATGGCATCAAAGTACAGGTGACTGCCGCCACCAGTGACTGCACCTGGCTTTGCAGGGCAAGAAATGGCAGGGGAAAACTTGTAGACACCGAAACGATGGCTGGGAATGCTGAACATCATGAGCTCCTGCGTGTCATGCAGGCACGTTTGCGGGACAGCAGCAGGCCAGCACTGGGGGGGGATGCATTGCGTAGGGCGCAGCAGGAATCAAACACAGGTGGGCACCGAGTGTGGCTGTTGCTGACAAACTGCAGGTCTGCTGTGCTGCGCAGCAGTGTTGCCTGCTGGAGCAGAGCACTTGGTTGGCACAGAGTTGTGTGACTTGAAGCCGAATCTCTGGCAGCGCAGAGCTTACATGTATCCCTGCTTGTTTCAGTGCAACTTGTTCAGAGCAATTTATTTATCCAAAACAAAGCATCCCGGTAGGATGTGATGTTTTGGAATGAAAGAAAATGCAATTGTTTTGCTTAGCAGTTGCCAGGGAGCCTGAACACAACAGAATGCCATGCCTGCTGGCAGGTGTGAGTGAGGAGACGTCGACTGCGAAATGGCCCACAGGCAGTCAAGCTTGGCCCATCTGTATGCCAACATGTTTTGAAAAGCTAGGAAGGAAACTGTGGAGGAATGGCAGCTAACGATGCCCTGCACAGAGGGCACCTGTGTATCTGCAAGGGTATATCAGTACATTTGCACGCTCACTGCTGAGATGCACATAAACCTCTGAAGTGCACGGTGTGCAGTTGTAAATCTACACCTCAATGCTTGTTGCAGAGGGCACAGTGCTTCTTTGAAGTGCTGCACTGCCATTGTCCTCTGCCTCAATGGTTGGTGCCCCACTGCTGAACTTGGTAACTCTTTGCATCTGATATGGCCAGGTGACGTGGCAGTAGCAAATTTCGTAGGCAGGCAGCTCAAAAACAATGGCACCAAGGAACCAAGAGCTACTCTGGCGGTACGTGTGGCTTCCAGTTGATTGCGTTGGTCAAAATCAGCACATTTCCCAGAATTGCCGAGTCTTGTCCTGGACACTGTCCTTGCAGTGTGGCACTTGCCAGATGTTGCTTCATCACTGGGAGCGCGCAGTTGTCATGCCATGTGCTGTTTCCACAGTGTGTTTGTTTAAATTCTGCCTTGCGCTTTCATGGCGATGAGGGGATCGGTTGTAGTCACTTGCTCGAGCCTAGGCTATTGACATGCATGCCTGGCCCTGCGGGTTGTATCGGTCTTGAAAGAATGCACATTGTTTGATACCAGGTTTGCTTTCTAGTAACCTAATCACAAAAGGCCCGGTTGTTGCATGGCTGATGTGTTAGTTCATGGAATGGGCCAGTTGCCTTACGTGGCAATGCTACAAATCAGCTTGTACTGTGAATCCCAGTTATTCCCTAGCTTCAAGCGAACATTCCACTGCCAATGCAGCCCGATCCTTTAGTACATGTTTGTGTAGTTGAAAGGTTGCAGCAATTACTGCTGGCTCTGCAATTCATTATGTGCTGGGCCTGGATGTGTGCAGGAAGGGGTGGCTGCTGAGTGTGGGCGGTTCCCCTACATGGTATCGCTTCGCGACCACCATGACGAACACAAGTGCGGTGGGGTGCTGGTGGACCCGCACTGGGTTGTAACTGCAGCCCACTGTGTGGATCCAACAAACTCGAGGTCGGCTGGGGCCACGCCAATTGCCGTCATAGGGGCCTGCAGCCTGGACGACGAGATCAACAAGAATGGGGAAGTCGAGGTCAGTGCTGACTCGCTGGTTCCCGGTTGGATCTACCAGTTGTTAGTTGGTGGGTTCAGTGGCTTCTGTTTTTTGTCCAGAGGCAGAATTCCCAAGATCTTTGTTCGTTACTATACTCTATGATTATGATACATACAGAGTATTGATATGTTGTGTATGTATATTTGTTAGGACTTCGTATTTACATATTCACCTAAGTGTTTATTGCCGTGTACGAGCTCTCCAAGAGGCCTGCATTGTTGAAAGTGGCGCACGCCGCTGTGTCTGACCTACCCCACTGTGTCTGAGTTGTAGTGTGAAAGTGCGTGTGCTCTCTCATTGAATAAAGAGGGGGTGCAGGCAAAGTGTTCAAAACTAAATGGAACCCTTCAGTGCGAGTTCGACCCCAAATTCTAACCCCGCCCCCACCCCCCCCCTCTCCCCTTAATTGCCTGGGGCAAGGTGGATCTCAGCCCCACTACGCCCAGTACCCTTACATACTGGTCCCCCAACACTTGGCCACTTGGTGGCACACGATTTGTCGCCGCTATCAAGTAGATGGAAGGATAGTTACCTGTTGACACACTGGAGATTTATGCCAGCACTGCACAGGGATGTCCTAGCGTTGGAATTGTGCTGCTCCCTTGTTATGTGCAACATCGTTCTGCAAATGCCGTCTAAACTTGTGGAAACGCTAAAGCATCTTGCATTGCAAAACAGCTTCTGTGTCATGCTGGATTGTACTCGCAAAAGAGACCTGCCATTTGTGCAACGGTCATGTCCAACTTCATCGCATGCCTGACGTGGCAGAACTGAGCGGTGAAGTGATGAGTGGGGTTCATTGTCATCCAACGCGTTGATGATGCTTGTTTGAGCAAAGTTGGCAGTTAGCGGTCACGTGTTAATGAAAACATCCTGAATGTGATATTGATTGGTAGGCTGCCATAGTGGCTGCCTGATTGATTGGTTGATCAATAAAGTAACCGTTGGACAGATAGTCTGGCGGCCATCAGTTGTTGATATATCAATGGTGGTGCTTTGGCAGACATTTTTGGCACAGGACATATTCCTGCACGAAAAGTGGACAGGCAATGTAGCAGACGAGCACGATGTCGCCCTTGTGGAGTTGAATGGCGAGTCGAGCCACAAGCCCGTGGGACTGCCCACCCGGCGTGACTCGCTGCATGAGAACCAGAGGTGGGCAACCATTTAGCCAGGGTTCTAACTATCTGAGTCCTCAAGGCCAAGGTGCATGAAGGGTTGTATCACGTTGAAATGCTTCTTTGTGTTTATTTGCTCTCTCAATATTGATGCACAGTCATTCATGCACACGGTACTCGTTCATACAAACCTGCACACATATGCAGGACTGTATGAGTGTACACCGATGTATTTGTATGTATGCATTCAAGTATGACGTCTTGGTGTTGCAAAGAAATATATGCAGTGTGCTGTTGCTGAATGTGTGCCCAGGTTTGCGGCCCTTGGTTGGGGGGTGAGGGGCGACGGGGCGGCTGTGACGGATCTGCAGCAGGCGGGTGTGGTGAGCGTTGTGGAGAATGAGGAGTGCGAGAGCGAGAGGCTATGGGGTCGCAGCATCAGCAACAAAGTGCTATGTGCATTTGGATTCAAGGGCGATGAAATTTGCGAAGGTGGGGCGCAACCTAGCGTCTGCTGTTCACGCCCATTGCAGTATTTGAGCATCCAAACACATATCAGAATACCTGTGTCGGAGTGTTGTATTTGTGGCACTGCATGCCTATGTTGTTGCCTTTACCAGCATGTGCCAAACACTGCATCTGTAAGGCATGAGATGCCTGCACGGGAAAGCATAAGGTGCGCTGCGAACTATATAGCTGAAATATCAGAGGAAATTCTTTCTGTGGGTCATGCAAGGTGACAGTGGGGGCCCTCTTGTGCGGCTGTTTGCTCCCGGCGGCAATGTCACGGCGGGCAGGCCATCCCTGGATGTGGTTGTGGGAATTGCGTCCTATCGAGAAGAGACAGCACGCTGTGGGGAGTCCAAGCTGCCGGGCGTCTTCACAAGGCTGGCAAGCTTTCGGAAATGGATCGATGGTATCATGGAGGTGAGTGGTGCCCTACCAGCTTCCAAAATGTGGATGGCTCATGAATTGGCCGATGCAGACGTCTGGAAAGCAACTTCACGATGCACTGCAGCTGATACGTCAGTGCCTCCATCCATCCTCGAACCAGTTGTCGACTATCCGGTTTTAAGACTGGTTTGTGCCAATTGATGGTAAACAGTTAGTAGCTTGCTGATGGTTGCCGCAGAGCAGGACTAGTCGCTTGCACCCAAGTTGGGCGTGTGCAAGGAGCACAATGCAGCTGGGGTATGTACACTGGGCAGAGGCGTGACACTTTGTAATGTTGTGGCTCCCCTCTCTTACCAGCAGCAATAACAACAACGCATATGTCATGTGAAGCTTAGAAAAGTGTAGATGAATGTAATGGATAAGTCAAGAAGTGGATTTAAGTTACTGTCCCTTGCAAGACCTGATCGATGTCAGACATGCTGCGCCAGGGCTGTGACATTTCCCTTGGCCTGTTGCACGGTACAGCTGATATTTGGTTCCTGCTTTCATTGCATTTGGCATTTGCAAAGTCTGTGCAGCTGCGTGTCATGCTTGTGCAAGCATGGGAGCGCAGTGAAAAATGAGTGCTGTGGAAACACAGTTTGGTGTCAGCAAGGGCTGGCGCCCAGTTGTAACATTAACTTCCTTACTGTGTACGCTCCCAGTATCATTGCTGACTCCTTTGGCTCACCATCACATCCAACAACAAATATATTATCAGAGAATAGTCCAGCATGAAATGCATATTCGAAATAATGCTGTACTCACAGCAAGATGTTTGCCCGAGGCTGCAGGTGGGTTTAACATCACCTTGCTGTTATCGTTGCTTCTACCTCTACTTTTCAAAATCGTTTGTTTTGAAAGCAAAGCAGTTCTTTCATGGTTGCAAAGTGCTGATGGGCTTTTTCTGACCTAAGGGCACCGGGCTACCAGACAATACTCCAGATTCGCCGACTGATGACGACACGATCTCGATGGCATCGGCCCAGCCTCCTGCACCGTCCAACGATCCATTCCTATCGCCGCAAGTGGCACCATCGACGCCACAGGGAAAGGTAATCATCGTTTGTGCGGATTTTTTGATCTCACTTGCAAGAGCGCGGCAAGACGCTGGATTCTCGCCCAGATGGCCACGGTGGGCATAGTTGGCACCCACGACATTTCCCATTTCCATACTCGATGTAGGTTGTGAGATTGCAGTGGCCTCACTGCACACGAACTGAGAACATTGTGCATCTGTTGGGAAATTGGTTCGAATGGGGGGTGTTATTTTGTCACATGCTTTGTACGTTTGGGTAGTGATTACCAGTTGAGCTTGGCCTGTTTCCTTGTTGCCGATCGTTGCATGTTGATTGCTACCATCCCTGTACGTTTTCTCATATCTTATATTGCGCAATCGTGTTTGACAGGAGTCGCCAAAGAAGAAGAGCCAAAGGAAGCTTGACCAGGTGGGTTTGATGATGACGTTGGCTGAAGTGAACGTGGATGCGAAAATCAGTGAATATATCGGATGATGGGATTTGAACAACGGGCAGGCACCTCCTGCAACATCCACCGTGGCAGCATAGATCACATCATGCGGCCCAACACCCAATTTCCACTTCGATCCCATACAAAGCCGTAGTAGAGCAGCATGTTCACCCGTGAGTTCCAGTTTACCGATGAATGTGGAAATTGACATCAGGACACTACCAGTGCGCCTGTGTTGGCGATGCATATCCGCTGATTGTAGAGATTTAGAACCGCTCAACCAGTTTTGGGGCATTTCTCGCATTCTTTGCGACTCGAAAAAATCGCTGCTGCAGGCGGATGCTGAATTTAGAAAAGCGGGCCACCCAGCGACTCTGCTGACATTACTGTAGGTTATCAGTTTATTGTCAATGTCATGGAGGTTTTGGTGGTCCATTGTGATTAATAGCATTAATATTGGCAGTAGTGCCTGCGGGCCTTTCAATGTCGGGACAGATCGCATGTACACGCACCTAGTTTTATGCATGGCTTTAGCAGGTTAAATGCGCAAGCTGAAAAGAACTATTTTCCACTTGGGTTTTTTCTTCTAGTTGCAAGTACGTATTTGATCGCAAATCTCTAGTTGCATATACATTGTTTTCTTTGGAAGTGCCGTCTTTCTGATTATGTTATTCCTATTGTATTGCTTCTGATGTGCTTGTGCTTCTTGTGCTTCTGATGTTCTTGTGCTTCTTATATTCCCATGCTTCTTATACTTCTGATGCTTCTTTATGTAATACTCTTCTGCAGTGCCTTTTACTAAGGCGTTGTGGAAGAGTACCGGTGCTGCTTGATTCCGTGCTTCTTGCCTGACTTTCCTGTTCGCCCCGCCCCCAGGCGCTCTTCCGGGCGGCCACCCAGGGCGACCTGGGCGGCGCGCTGCGCGCCTGGCGCAAGGGCGCCAGCATCGACGCCACGCACGGCGTCTTCGGCGAGACGCCCCTGCACGTGGCCGCGCACAATGGCCACGCCGACGTCGTGGAGTTCCTCCTCCAGACCGGGGCGGCCGTGGACGACCTCAAGTCCAGCGGCACCACCCCGCTGTTCGTGGCCGCGCAGAACGGCCACATTGAAGTCGTGCGCCTTCTACTGGCCTCCGGGGCCGAGGTCGACAGGCCCAGGCCATCGGACGGCGTAACCCCCCTGTTCATTTCCGCGCAGAACGGTCACGCTGATGTGGTAGCGGCACTTCTCGACGCCGATGCCGATCCCAACAAGCTGGATAACATAGGGGAGGCGCCGCTGCACATAGCGCCCGCGGCGGTCATGGGCAGCGTGGAGGTCACGGAGTTGCTGATCGAGGCTGGGGGAGAGGTGGACGCCAGGGGGGTGGCGGGGCTGACGCCTTTGCTGTGGGCGGCTTACTACGGCAATCTGGAAGTTGCCAGGACGCTCGTGGGCGCGGGGGCGGACAAGGACGCCTTGGGCGACGGCGGTGAAGGAGCGGTCGATCTGATCTGCGTGTGCTTGGACAATCGGGACGATCCCAACCTGATACAGTGCCCGGAGGGCGGCTGCGAGGTCCCGGAGAATGTGGAGGGCCTTGAGGCCCTGCTGAGGTGACGAACAGGGGGCCGGAGGCGCGGGGGAAGGGGCATTTGATTGGCGCTGTTTTTTTGGGTTTTGCCGCTGAGGGTTTTGTTTGCGAGTCGCGCTGCGTTCCGGGGAGTTGGCGTAGGGTTGTTGAGGACGCGGCCCGGGGGGTGAACGCGCTTGAAGTGAGGGTTGCTGGATAACAAACTGCACGGTCTTCGTATTGCCGACGGGAGCCCGGCGTGTGGCCGTGCAATGGTCGCGGTCCCCGGGCGTTCGTTGCGTGTCTTGTGGTGCTGGAAATGGAACAACGCGGACGAGATGAGTGGCGGACGGGCCTGGCAGCCGCTGTCGCGTTTGCGTCATTACTGTAGCCTTGTGGCTAGGGTTGGCCAGTAAATGAACAATGTCTTGAGGCCTGTGTGCATGCACAATTGCACCACATGTGCTCGCCGCTGGCCTAAAATTTGTTGCACTGACGAGAGATGTCGATGTTTCGCCAACGGTAGATGCCGTGGTTTTGTAAACGCACAGCGGTGGTTTGTTGCACCGCCCTGGGGATTGGGGCGGCGGTGGTGCCGAATGTTTAATTGCTGATTGTTTTTTGGTTTTTGCGAACTTTCACGGGTGGACCTGCAGCTGGCCGTGGCTCTGTCAGGGACTGAACATCTGCCCTACTTGGCACAACTTGACAAATATCGCGTCAACGTGGCCAAGAACAGTGGGCTGTGCCGCTGCGGTAAGAACCTGCCGCTGTAAGACCCTGCCACTTCAGAGGGCGCTCAACTTCCAACTGCTTCCCGAACGTTTTCCATTTTCTGACCCAAATTACAGGGCGACAGGATGCCTGGCTGCCGATTCAAGATATCGGCCAACCGATCCAACGTCGCCCTTGGGTGCAAATCGCCAACAAGATTGTCGGTTCCATTACGTTGACCCCCACGAAGCCATGCTCCGCAGTGCCCTCGCCCCAGTGTAGTTGCGTCTCCACTGGACAGCGTCCAGCACTGACCCCTGATGAGTGGGATCGCTGTTCAAGCATCGATTTGAATGAGTCATCTGCACCGGTTGTAGGCGTCGCATCCGCGGCATCTGTGGAGCACTTGGTCCATTGGGCGTCACCCATTGAACGCACCAGAAGATAGCATAGCATGTTTGTCCCATTATATTGTGTGTCGGTCAATGACGACAGGGGAGCTTTGTCTTCGCAAGACCCAGATTCGCATCCCCACCCGCCCAGTACAGCACATGCACATTCACATGCATCGCCCCACGCCCACACGCCCGACAAGTCCACTTGTTACACACATCCTGTACAGCGCCCCCACGCACGCAACCGCCGCCCGCTTCCCCAGCCCCTTGGCTCCCCGAGTGGTGAACCTCGGCGCCTCCCCCTCCCCACGTCACATCAGACTTGAGCGCCCTCAAACGCCGTGCGCCCTCGGCTCTCGTAAGTTTTTTCGCCCCGCCGGCCAGGCGCAGCGCACCAAGGCAGGCAAACCTCTCCCACGGGCCCCCGTCTTTCAGGAGGGCCCCTCTGGCAGGACGTAGCGCGAGGCGTCGCGAAAGGTGTGCAATTGTTCTGCAGCCGTCTCTCCGCTGTATGGCTCCAAAGAGAATACGACCATCGATCCGTGCGCGCCATCCCCCCCTTCCCGGCAGGTCCAGCGTCGCGTTCGCGGGGCAGCTGTTTCTGCCCCGGTCGAATTCCTCAAGGCACAGCCCCGGACTTGGCGCCCAAAGTAGCGCTTGGGGTTGCGCCGAGGATTGGCGAGGAGGGGACGCCCGAGGAGGGACGATGCCCATGTCGGTCGGAGGCCGAAGGCGAGCGCCCCTGTGGCGGGCGCACCGCGTGACACTCGGCCGCGAGGGGAGGGAGCCGGCCCGATGTTGTGCGGTGTGGGCGCCCGTGGGAAGCTGCGGGGCCCTGGACTGAGCGTTGAGGGCAAGGCAGGGGCAAGGAAGGTGCATCACCTCGCACGTTGTTCGTTCGGCTGATGCTTAGGGCAATCGTGCGCCGTGGCCCGTGCTGGGCAAAACGTCGTGAATGGCCCCCAACGATTCGACGGGGTTTGGGAAACGTGGGCTTGAAGCGTGGCCTTTGCGGCATTTGGCGTGCGGTGCGTCCCCGCCTGCTGTTCGGCCCCATGGAACGCTCGGAGCATGTCATCTTCGGAGCCTTGCCCCTTTCGCCATTCGAGGTTGGCGCGGCCCGGTGCAGCGAAGGCGGCCGATCTCTCCCGCCGCCCGCCTGTGGCAGTCGGGTGGTGCCAAGGCCGGCTGTACGATTGGGCACCACGTGTGTTTGACACCCAGCGGCCGGCCGCGGCGCGTGATGGGCGGAGCACGCGACCGTCAGTTGTGGGAGGGGTGGGCCTTAGGCTAGCGCGGCCGCGCGGGGCGGTCATGGCGATCCCGTGACTAATCCATAGAGATCCTGTTGGGCAGCGGGGCATCATTGATGGATGCTGCATGATGCATGCCCCTCGTCATTCACGGCTCCTTCACAAGGAAAACGAGTTGTGAATGACCCAGGGCATCCTGCATCTTTTTTCAAAGCAGTGCCCAACTGTTGCAGGTGACAGTTGGGTATGCCCTTGAAAGGGCACAGACAAGGGGACCACGCGTTGTCCTTCGCCCTTGTCTTCCTCTTTCCCCACACCTTGTTGGCAACCGAGCGAGGCTGACGCGGCTTTGTTCAATGTGCTGGCGCTGGTGCATTGCCACCAACGTCCCTGCTGGAGGTGCAAAATTTTTGCACAACCGATGCACCTGACATAGAAGAATTTCGCGCCCACTGCATCCGAGAGATCTGAGCCTCAAATTGCCCGCACGGTGATGGAAAGCTGGCGATAGGGTGAAAACTGCCACCCATTGACGATTGAGATCATGATTTGTGGCCCGCTTCACCACGTTGTGCATTCTGACGCTCTAGCGCAGCAATAGAAACTTGAAACCAATCGGAATCAATTTCTAGTTGATATACAATCAGCCTGAGAACAACAGTAACAACAACATCTAAACATAAATCAAATCTGGCATGAGGTTCACCAGCTGTCTTGTGTTATTTGGTTGAAGATGAAACAAGTGGGAAGGAAATGTTTGCCAACAGCGCTTTCCTGCTCTTCTGCCTCGCAGCTGACTTACAGACTCCCTATCATGCAGCTGAGGTACTGAGATGGGGCGGGGGCACCAGGAGTTGCTACCGCACGTGGCGCTGGCCTACCTGCTGGCGACCTGCCTTGCCATTTTTTGTGTAAGTTTGACCAAAGCCATTACCTCTGCTCAACTGAATTGGAATTCCCCCTTTAGTATTGTGTTGGGTTGAATAATAGCCTTCCAGAGTCCCAAAGTGGTACCAGGCCAGGCAACAGATGGAACAAACTAGCGCACCAAGCCAAATACACTGAACCTATGGCAGTAGGCCCTATTATGAAGGGTATATGTGAGAATTGCACAGGTCGATATGGCTGCCCTGTCCATCGTGCTGCGCCTGTCAAAAGCTGACGATGCGCTGTCCTTGCGCAAGTCATGTGATATTCGCAAAGGAGTATGAGTTGATCACAACTTTGCAAGTTTTGCAGTGCAGCACCTGGCGGGCAGATGTGGCACTTCTCTTTGTACAAGTGCAGCCAGTGGCAATGTGTGCCCAGCATTTTGTCTCCCAGGTCTGGGGCCCCAGTGAATATTGCTGATGTTGTCCACCAGGTCACGTTTCAAAACTGGTTAGTAGTGCCTGACTGCACTTGTCCGTGATGATGGGCAGGTTCAGGTTTCACCAGGTGATGAAGAGCTACAGTCTCATGCAGTTGCGTGTTTTGGAGGCTGTCATGATGTTGGAGCCCAGTCTCTTATCATTCATGCTGCTGTGTCCATCATCCAGGTTGCTGCTGGGGCTGATTGCCTCCCCCAGGCCGCTCCAATGACGGCGTCCAGAAGCGGCCGAGAGGATCCATTCACAGGTATGCACTGCTGACATTTTGCCCACAACTTTGTGCTCATGGGGTGCACGTTGATGCACCCAGATCCACAACAAATGGTGCTGGAATGTTGTAATCCCAAACATGTTGCGGTGGCGGGCAAGCATCAGGGCAGTGCACTTGCTGTTGCTACCACTGCTGCTACACAAGAAATATGGGCCCAAACAGAGACATGAACGGATAGAAAGATATTCTCTTTGAAAGAAGAAATGAATACTGTCGTCATGGCTGGTGCCCCAGCCGTACCACATGGTGCCAGCACGGCCCAAAGCATGGCACATGGTGTCTCGTGGAATTGGCTCTGAGCACAATTGCTACAGCAATTCACTGATGCCCTAAAGCACCAGCAAGGTGGCAAATGGCAACACCATCTACATCTAGGTGGCTGAATTATGGCAGTATTTCAATACAGTATGTTAATACAGCATTTTACGACAGTGTATTAATGTGCTTCATAGAATTTGGGCTGTACAACTCAACAACATCAACACGACATCCCAGATGCCATATGTGCATGTCTTCACCTCACAGGTGAATGGGTTTTGAAAGGCAGTTCATTGAAATCAAAAACAATTCCAGAACTGATCCAGACTTCCATTTTGTTCCTTCAATCTTGTGTGGACACCTGATGGTGCTAGTCTTGATCCCACAGAAGCAAGGTGTGCTGGGGGGCAGCGCACAAATTGCATCCTGACCCATCATGTGCTGCAGAGCCCAGGCAATAATCTATGCAGTCTCCAGTAAGGACATGGCCATGTAGTCACCACCCAGCACATGCGTGCATGCGTTCATTCATCCATGCAGAGGCAATGCAATGGAACAATCTGCGAATCCATGGAGCATGGATCCATACACATGGCCCATAAGTATGCCAAACTGATAGTCAGTTGCTCCCAGCATCCCAACATTTTTGAGGGTTTTCAATTCGTTAAGGCAGGACTATTTTGGCATCTGGTCACTTGATGCTGAGGGGAGGGGGGAACCAGTACCCCAAGTGAGGTCTTGGACTGTTCCATTCAGCATGGTGCAACAAATTTTAACTTGTGTGAAGTATTGTCCATTCTGTTCATGAACCAACGATTGTGTCGATCCATGTGGAGCATCCGGTTATGCAAGGGCTGGTTCTTGCAGTGCTTAATTTAATGGACTGCCCTTGTCTTTTAGGTGATTCGCAAGCCAAAACCATGGGTAGGAGAATTCTCAAGCAAGAAGACGCCAAAGATCCTGGAAATTCGACAGAGCCTGAGAAGGCGAGCAGACTTTCTCACGTGCCTAGAGTTGATGTGTTCTCAGACCAGTTCTCCTTCCATGCTGGTGAAACTTGCAACAGAGCTCCTACTACTATGGACGTTTCGTCGTTGGCAACACGCCGAGCCATTCACAAGTTTGCAGGGCGCTGTGGGGCAAAGACAGGCCCAACGCAAGCCCAAACACGCCTGAAAAACAGACAAGCCAAAAAAAGGCCGTCCCCGAGGCGGTCGCCTCGCATGTTGCGGCAGGACCCGCCTTGGAACGTAGCGAACTGCAGGCGACCACATCAGCTTTGCCAGCATCGCTGTGCCGTTCTCACCCGCTTTGCTGGTTACCTTTCCAGGAAGATGCCGCCAATCTGTGCGCACGATTCCCTTACGCTGTGTCCCTTCGCGATTTCAACGACGTTCACAGGTGTGTCACGCTGGCCGACTGGTTATCCGCACGAACAGCCCGCGAAGGGTCTATGTTGGATGGCCGCGCGTGTTGCCTTAACATACTGGCATTGGCACTGCTGCGGCTTGCGGTGTTGAGGCAATGGGCGCGCAGCACCCATCTCACGACCCGCTGCAAGAGAACGTGGTATAGCTGAGTACGAAATGTTGCGATATGTTACGAAATGTTGAACCTTGTACTTCAGCAGCGCTTCCTGCCAGAAGTACCCACCTTTTTCAAAGGCATGTTTAACGTCCGCTTCACATTCATGGTGTTCCATGATCCCAACTCTAAATGACTCCCTTGTCCGCGACGTGCAGGCATCGGCGGAGCTTGGCTGCACTGATATATATGGAGCTCCTTGCTTCGATCACCATGTAGTACATTGGAATTCAAAAATGATTGTGGATTTTGGTTGACTGATCGAACGGCTGATCGCGTGCTTGATGTCACCTGGCAGGTGCGACGGCGTGCTGATTAACCACAATTGGGTTGTGACCGCCGCCCGCTGTGTGGACCCCAACATCTCCACTTCCGCCGGAGGCACTCCCATCTTGGTCATCGGATCGTGCACGCTTGACAGCGTGGCGAGCAGCCACGGAGAAATCGAGGTGCGCACACGGCCAACGCCTCTTGAGAAATTGCTATAGTGCGTGGGCACAGTGCTGCTGCGAATTGCAGACCACCCTTGGCGACCTTTTGGGTCGATGGATTGCACGTGGTCATCCACGCACACGTGACTACCTGCATTCTGTGGATATAGACAGCGCTGCTTTGGGGGGAATCACGGCCTGATGAAAAATGGCCCAAGGAAATGTCCAGGGTCATATACGGTTTGGCACTTATTTGCCCATGGTGCATCACAGACATACATTGTCAACAGCGTGCCAATACCTGTTCAAAAACTGCTGTCACTATAGCCACTCCTGATAGTTGCCATTACCAATAGCAACACTGCCACCCATGTACTCGTGCACTCGCAGCATTCACCAATGACCGCTCGTTTGTTGACGGCCGCGGCCGCAGGAGACGCTGGCCAGTGACGTCATCATCCACGAGAAATACACTGGCGCCGTGGCGGACCCATTCGACATCGCGCTCGTGAAGCTGAGCCGCAAATCCACCCACAAGCCCGTGGGCCTGCCCACCAACCGCGGGGCCAAGGACAACGGCAGCAATTTCACGGCTCTGGGGTGGCACGCGCGGGAGGACGGCGTGGTTGGGCGGGAGCTCAGGGGCGCCATACCGGTCAACGTGGTGGAGGACGGGGAGTGCCTGACGGGAGACCTGGAGGGAGCCAAGTTCGGGGAGTCCATGGTCTGCGGAAAGGGAGCCACGGAAGAAGACCTTTGCGAAGGTGGTTGGGCGGCCATGTCGCCATTTCGCTTTGGCATCAACGGCCTCAAGGCCACCCTCCAAAGGGTCGGGGGGAGACGTCCGTCCCCGCGTCCCCACGTCCCCACATCCCCATGAGGCCCTTGAGGCCCGTGCCGCCTGTGGGGAAGTGGGGACGTGGGGACGTGGGGACGCGGTGACGGACGTCTTCCCAACCCTTCCCCCCTTGGAGGGGGGGAGGGGGGGGGCGCTTGAGGCCCCTGGTTCCAGTAGGGACGCCCGGCGACGTGGAGTCGTGGGGGCGCTGGGGACGGAATCGCTGTGCCGGCCGGCGATGGCAGTTGGGGACGGACCCCACCCCACCCCCAACTCCACCCCCCCGGGCCTCCCCCCTCCGTGTGTGTGTGGCGGGGACGTCTTATGGCTCTACTTATGGCGGCTGTTGGCAGCTGCAGCTGCCTTTTGAAGCGAATCGACTGGTGATTCCGAATGGCAAGAAATTGAGGATCGGTGCACTGCGGTCGAATTTCATGTCAGTACCCCAGTGCATGTGTGAATGCCTGCATGAATCAAGCAGACGACAGCAGTTTTTGTTGCAAGGTCTGTTGCTTGCTGTCACGCCACACACACCGAACTCCATCAATGCATTACTGCCTTGCCGACAGCACCCATGTTGCCTGGAGAGATTTGCTATGTTTCAAGCGCACTTATGAGGAGCCAAAGATAAAGCTATGGAATGAATAAGAATTGAATTGCGCCACTGTGCAGGCTCGCCTGGGGCGGCCCTGCTGCGGCTGTTTTCGCCTGGCGGGGA